GACGCCCTTGGTGAGCCAGGGGAGCTTTCGGGCACTCCTACCCCCCTTGCTTCTTGCCAGGATGGTCACCCTTTGGGCCCTGAGTATCGTCTGCTGGTAGCTTCTTCTCTTTTTAGCAATCTCCATGGTAGTGTAAGTATTTGAGGACTGTTTGCCATTTGGATGAAGTGTTACAGATGCATTTAGAGGGTTGCAAACTTCAAAGCAGGCTGGTGTAGACAAGGCCACCGTGCTCTGCATGTCTTACAGCAAACAGTTCGGGTAGATACTGTTGGTTATACTGCTTTCTGAAGGTCTGGGAGTTGTAATTGGTGTTATATTACTGATACCTTATCTCTATTTAGAACTCCATTTTTAGGACATATACAGATTGTTCTATCATGTCTTTGTTCACTCTTTTGCCTGCCAGCAGAGAGACATTTCTGGAGTACAGGCTATTTAGCCATTCAAGAGTGGTGAGATTTAGAATGCGGGATGGGGAGAATGGTGGTATAATTTGTTAACAGGCCACACAAGTAGTAGACTATTTCCTTTTCTCTTCTGGCTCCCCTGAACATGCTGGCACATATTTGGGGAGTGGAGTCAAAGCTTTTGCCTACTTTCCACCCACCTCTGTCAGCTCTTTCAGTGTGCACCAGGATAAGTCTAATGGATTCCCAGAGCCTACTCTTTCCCTGCTCTCACACAAGTTATGCAGGGAGACCATGAGGAAGGTAAGAGAGCGTCCTTGTACTCTGCACTTGTAGAGCAGTCACAATTTCATCCTTACCCTGCACTCATAATAAGTTTCCCTTCTAGAGATGCTTTTATGTTTTACATTGTTAATAGCTCAAATATAGTTTCAAACTTGCTGTCTAGAGTCAGAAAAATGGCATTTTATGATGCATTTTTCATTTTTATCCAGGAACCCAGTGGTAACCACACTCCTCCTCAGTTGTCTCCATCACTTAGCCAAAGCACATACACTACTGGTGGCTCCCTAGACGTCCCTCACATTATCATGCAGGGTGATGCAAGAAGAAGAAGAAATGAAAACTATTTTGATGATATTCCCCGGTCAAAGTTGGAAAGGCAGATGGCACAGGTAGGGATCTTTCTGTGGTAAGACTGTCCTTTTGTGGTAATCAGAGACATAATTCTAACACTTGTTGCATATCCATATTATAGGGCCCGATCGTGATTTCAGGGGGGGCGTTTTCTGTTTCAAAGGATTGCATGCCATATTTCTGAATCCAAACTTAGATTTTTGTTTTCACAAGTTAATGTGCAAATTATTGTGTGTATATAAAGAGATTTCTACAGCCAACTTTTTAAAGGCATTTAGGTGCCTAAAAAATGTGATTAGGTGCTTTCTTCATGAGAAGGTGCAGATTTCTTGTTTTATGAACAGCCTGGATAAAAATATGCTGGTAGAAGCTTACTACAGAATATACAAAAAACTGATAAGAGCTGTGGCAGCCATCTTTATTAATGGAGTGGGTCAGCCCTTTTCTAAGGACACGTGTAATCTTGTGATATGTTTGAACATTTTCAAAAGATTTTCACTTTTCTTACGTAATGACTTTTCTGCCCATCCCCATAGTACTTAGCACAGCTAGACATTAAATGACAGTCCAGAAAAGCACAACTGTTTTAATCATCCCCCCTCCCTTACCACTTCAGCCAACTGGAAATAATGTACTGACAATTTTAAATCAAGCATATGCTTCACAGTAAAGATATGTGTGCACTACTTTAAAGGTCAGAAAAGTTAAGCTCTGATAGGCTCTCAGCAGAAGTGCCTCAGGGTGATCTCTCCTGCTTTTGTATAGTGCATAGGAAAAAAGATACCATATCCTTAAATTATTTAGTGTTTACAGTATGTATCAGAAATACAACTTTGAATTACTCTCAGAAACAGCTAGTGCAATCAATGAAGCAACTTAGTCTACTGAGCAGACAGGTTGCTGCATTTTGAAGCTTCCAAATGATCTTCATTCATAGCCTGGACTGCAAAGTATATTTCAGTAGTGCAATTAGGAAGTAGCAAAAACTATGCAACTATCTATGTGAAAGGTCATGTCAGCAAAAAATGCTGCAGTCTCTTAGCCAAGCGTATGTACAGAAAAAACCTATTAAAAAAAACAAGTGAAAGCAAGCCAAGATGGTGCTGCTATCTGGGAATCTAGCCATAGGTGATAAATTTCACTTCTTCAGGAAACATGTATAGAAAAGTGAATTTGGACTTTTTTTCCTTCTTAGTTTTCAGAGAACTTCTCTGGCTGCTCTGTTATTCTGTCCTGCTGAAATAATACTTTCATTCTAACCTAGAAACAGAAAAAGCTAAGGGAAGTTGCCTAGTGAGCAAGCCTGCTTTCAAACGGAAGTCTTCTGGACTTCCAGAGCTTGAGCAAATTTGACTTAAGTGAAGGTGAAAGGGAAAAAAACACTTTGTCACCTACTGTAAAAATACTTTTTTGAAAGTCACAAAACTTGAATGTCAGAATATGAAATATCCAATTATTTGTGGTTGAGGTGGCAATCATTTGTGCACGTTTTATCACTTGGTTCACACTCTCATGTCCGCTCTTCTTATTTTAGTCCCTAATATTTAAAAAAAAAAAAAGGTACTGTATTAGCAAGTTGGCCTGCCTTCTTTTTGATCTCGTCTTTTCCTGTCCACAGTTCTGCTCTTCCCAAGAGGTATAATGCATCCCTCATCAGATACCAGGGGACTCGCTTAACAGTTTCAAATTGCTTTCCCAGAAAGTCTGTGATATATGCCTTATCTGCAAGGAGAAATCTGAGCACTCAGTACCTCAACTGCTTTGAACCACTTTAAAGTCAATTAAGTGTTGCCTTTTATGTTTTCTTGGGTGTTAGTC